TGATTTGAGCGGATATGTTTTCCCATGAACGCTTGACCCAACCACACACATCGCTGATCCTAGCACGACGAAGATTTCCTGCTGCAGTTTCTCCAGCACCACCACTAGCCATCCAAAGATGCCATTCCTTGCGAAGGTTATCTTTAAAGGGTTTGTTGATTGCAACATCAAGGGGTTGGCAAATACTGGTTAGACCAGCTGGAATTATTGCTAAGTCAATACCATTCGCATGAAACTTTTGTTTTAACTGAATCCTCTAAATGACCCCTGAACGAATCATATACCATCATTGCGGGAGAACTAGGTTCACTACTCATTCTCATATCAACGAGGTAATCAATATATTGCTTCATCAAGTTAGAATCCATCCAACCATTCTCGAGTCCATACAATTACACCATCAATAATCGTTTCCCTTTGAAGATACAAATAGGTGGAAACTTCGTTCCATCTGCAATTTAACACTATTTAATATTAAGATAATTGTGTTAAATTATTCAAATAAACAATAGATAACACTACTTACCTGCGGCACATGTCAATACAACTGTGAACCGACTTTTTTCATTACCCGTTCCACGAATGTGAACTGTTTTTTCACCCTTTGGATTTACAGTAAAATTTCCAGCCATATCAAACCAGACAGGCGTTTCATCCATGTTAAAAATATTATGCAGTTCGAAAGACTTTGTTGCTCTAAGATTGTTAACAAATTGATTAAAGTTTTGTAACAATGCATGAGTGTGCGCAGGAAGTTTTTGTGATATTTTCGTCGATCGTCGTAACGATAGCTTATATCTTTTCATAAATGCAGATATCCAACGACTTGACACTCTACAACACTCAGCTGAGTCACCATACAGAAAAATTATATCTGGTTTTCGTAGAATTTCCAACATTTTAGCTCGCATGTCTACATAATTTACGGCTATTCCTTGTTTTCGTTGTGCGATAATCCAGTCATATAACTTTTGTTCTGCTTCTGGATAAAATGCTGTACGACCAGAGCCGGTTTTCTTGTGTTTATTTATTCCACTTGTCCACGTTTGCTTCATCCACCGTCCGACCATGCTACGAAATACTTCGCTGCTTTATTTCGTCCATAAATATTTGCGTAGGCAATTACTTGTTCTTTTTGTCTAATAGAATAGGAATTACGTTCACGCTTGATCGATTCACACTTGCAGTCAACTTGTGGCATTGTTTAAAGTTTAATCGAATAATTACGAAGTTTTTTTTTGATTACATCTATATATTTAAAATGTTTCGCGTTTCTTTTAATCACACTAATACTGGTGTTCTCGTGTTTGTTTTTACTTGCTTTATTGAATCTGTCTAGAAAGTTCGATATATTTTTACTAATATGGATTAATTAACACTAACTGTTCTAAATGTTTCTATATGCATGTGATTTTCTCAAATTTGTTACACAAAAATCTAACCTCCGAAAATAAGCACCCCCTATTGTCAAAGGGGGTGCTTATTTTCGGAACTGTACGGTAAGTGACAGAAGATCTGTTTTTGACGACTCTGGCGCACCATACCTCCTGCTTCTTGCAAACCGGTGATCGACAAAGGAGATCGCTGAACAATCAATTATTTGAAGAACGTGCTGCGAACATTAGAGAATATTTTTTCATTCCAAGAGTATTTGTTTAATAAAGATCTATCAAACTTGCGACAGCAATATAGTTATGTAAACATTAAACAATATCTGAACCGATTAGATCCATTAACCACTAAGATGCCAACAGTTGTTTCTAGAGGGGCCAATTGTCGAGCGAACCCTGAGGTCCTATGTTAAGATTAAATTATATAACAATTTCTATATAATAGACACCATAAATGCCCTCGTGAAAAGGTCAAAATCTAAATACATCGA